ACACTCTTGTGGGACACTCTTGTAGGACACTCTTGTGGGACACTCTTGTAGAGCACTCTTCGTACGAGACTTCCTCCAAAAAGTCACACGTCAAGTCTCCAAAACGAGCGTTTCGTACGAGACTTCCTCCAAAAGTCACATGTCAAGTCTCCAAAACGAGGGTTTCGTACGAGACTTCCTCCAAAAGTCACGCGCCAAGTCTCCAAAACGAGCGTTTCGTACAAGACTTCCTCCAAAACTCACATGTCAAAGTCTGCAAAACGAGCATTTCGTACGAGACTTCCTCCAAAAGTCAAGCGGAAACACCCATCGGAGCACACACATCACGCAGCCCTGCCAAGCAGTTTCGCGAGTCCAGCCCCTCCAAACAATACCCGCTCACACGCCAATCCCACTGTGACATCGACATTCACCTCTACCACAACTCACGACCTCACAATTCCCTGCGCCTGCCACGAATCTTTCCACGTCCACACGTCTAACGCGCACAAAGTACTGCGCCTGCCACGAGATGTCACCTCCGTCACACCTCGCAACCTCACGATTCCCTGCGCCTGCCACGAAAATCGCACTTCCACACCTCAAACTCCGCACAAAGTACTGCGCCTGCCACGAAAAGTGACAATATCATCTCATGTGAGCTTCAACAAAATTTGCACCACACCACACGTTTGGAATGATTTCGACCCTTTCGGAGCACACTCCCATCCACCAAAATCGCCATTTCAGCTGAGACTTGTCACGAAAACCGAGCTTCGATGCCACACCCTGAAACGCAAATCCCATTGGCACGGCCACATCCAACACCCCTAAAACACGACTCTCCAAACGCTAATCCCAATGGAACTGCGCAGCAATCTGCGGATCTCACAAAAGGCTGCGCCTGTGCAGCGAAATGCATCACGCTTCTTGCGCGACATGTCATTGTCATGCAAATCACAATGGAATAGCGGCGCAAACTGACACGTGACACATCTATGAAAGGTCACTTGCAAAAGCTTCCCCCAATGGCAGCGCCTTAGCGTTCTACGGCCAACCAACGGTTGCAAGCACTTGCGAAGGGTTGCGAACGGTTGCGGACGGTTGCGAACATACAAACCACGGGTCGCGAACAAGACTCTACCTCCAGACCCTCAGAGTTAAACGAGAACCCTTCGCTACGCATTCGGGAAAAAAAACAAATATATACATATATATATATATATATATACACCCACATAAAGATACATAAAAATAGAATAGACTCCTTCATCCTTCCAAGCATCTCAATTCAAAAGGATTTGGTGCCCCTGCTGCTTTCAGGCAGCTCATGACCGATTTGCCCCGGAGATCGTGTTTGTCGTGGGGACCAGATGGTGTCTCGATCCAACAGAGTGCGTCCGGGTAGAGCTTTAAAAAAGACACTGCTTCACGGAGACTTTGCTCCGCTTTACCCAGGAGTTTGGCTCCAGTTCCACCACCCCCAGAACCACCAAAGGCTTGGGTTGGTGGCTTGGCTTTGCCATCTTTGCCTTTTGCCTCGTCAGTTGGTGCACCAAAGCCACCACGGAAGAGCACTTCTTGGACATATTCGTTCCACAACCTTTCGGCTTCAGCTGCGGAATCCTCGAACGAGCGGGCACCTTGTGCTTTGAGATGCTTCGCCAGCTCTGCGGCTACCTCAGCTGAACTTGACTCGATGTGATCCAGGGCAGTGCGCATGTGGGAGTTCACGTGGTTGATGCGGGCCCCGTTCGCAATCAACAGGGAGGACATCTCTTGAAATACTTCCAAATCTGCTGGGGCGGGCTGTGTGGGGTCAGCTCCAACAAGCGCCAGAATGGCAGTGTTACCTCGACAGAGCCACACCGCACAGTCATTACATAGGACATAGGCGCTTGTGTTCTCAAAACAAGAATTACGTGAAAAAATGTTCACAAAACCTGCCTTCCCGAACGAAACTGTTGGGATCGGCTCCCAGCGAGAGGAGTTCTTTAGCTCTCTCCACACATCCTTCAGGCCGTTCACAGGCCAATCGGTAAAGCTCTGCAGAGGCAAAAGCACTGTGAACAAATTCGTTCAGCTTGTCATAGGCCACGTGTTTCACAGGTGGTGGATTGGAAGAAGTCTTCAAAGTCATTGCCCCATAGGCAATGAAGTTCATGATGGCATGCCGGTCACTTTGCAAAGACGCCTCTGCAAGCCTGATATCCACAGAAGTTCCGACACGGGCCACTTCCAGTGGAAAGTGTGCCTGCCCAGCGGCCACCTCATTCCAGCCCTTCACGCCATCTTGCAAGATTGCCACAGATTCCGGGGCGTATGGCTTTGGGGAGCCTGCACTCTCATCAAAGGCAACCAAATCCAAAAAGTGAGTGCTCTTTGAGCTCAGGTCATCCTCCCTTGAGCGAAGCCTTTGTGTTAGATGAGCTTCAAAAACGCACCAGACCTGGGCCGCGCATTCGCACGTGTCTTCCGAGTGTTTGAGAGTAGGTCCACAACATGAATCCAAAATGAGCCCGCAAGAGCACATCCCTGGCAAGAAAAAGCAGCCCTGATCTACAAGGAGAGTACAAGGGAAGAGCGTGCAGCCGGAAATGGATGGAAGCCCAGGTGGACATGTCCATAAACATCCTCAAATGCGATGCGCTTGGCATACAATCTATGCCCGTGGATGCAACGGCTACCCGCCCGCGGATACCTGTTAGCTCCATCGATTTGGGTGATGGGCCGTGAGCCGTGCTAAATTCACAACAGGGCAGGCCGATCGATTGTGTACCCACCCCAAAAAATATACGATCCTCACCGCACCCCAGGTATTGGTAGCCCAGTCTTCCCAGGTTGCCCAACGAAGCTACGGGAGACTGGTGGAAGCCTGCAGGGACGCCTGAATGTGTACCTGCCTTTGGAAACCCACTACCTATAGAGCGATTCTTATGTCTCGCAGAGTTCGTCGGCAGACTTGTCTGTCGGATCTCTTTCCTTTCCCTACCCTATTGGTTTCATGTTTTTGTCTACCTTACCTAGAACAGGAGGCTTTATGTCCTTTCTCTGTCTAACTTACCTAGAGCGATTCACGCTCACTGTGTGGAACTACCCCTACTTCCACCTACTGTACCTACTGCTTGTCAATCAAAGATCAGACATGTGCACTCACCTGTGTTGAGTTTTGCTTGTCAATCAAATATTTACCTCTGTGTGTGGGTGTGTTGAGTTTTGCTTGTGCGTTGGGTTTTGCATGCGTTTTATTTGCAGCTAACCTGCTAGTGATGGCCTCCAACCTGTCGTGTTGGCCCCTACTAGATGCTATGGCCTCCAACCTAAAGGCGATCCACCAACCTTTCCTGTTGCATCCGGAAGTGATGTGATTTTCAACTGCTGTCTTGTCTACCTTCTAGTGATGGCTTCCAACTGCCAGCCCGTAGCAATCACCTCCCACCTAGATGGATGGCCTCCAACCTACTCTTGTTTTTTTCCCGCTGGTCTCTTTGGTTTTTTGCCTAGGTCGGCGGGTGGCAAGCCGCCATCCATTTCGTACGCAATTTCCCGCGCGTGTGTCTCATTTTGCGTTCGATGGTTTCTGACGCCATACTGAATGAATTCGGCGGTCCCTTTGACATGGTTGACTTTCCTGTGCTAACTTGCCAGCTTGCGATGGTGTACATAGAGCATTGCTCAAACGGTTGAACGATGGATGGTTCGTTTTGTGGCGGTTGTGACCCAGTCCTGTGTGTGGAATCTTCGACCGAGCTGGTTGTCACCTGTGTCCTCTCTGAAAAACGCGAAAGAGCTACCCGCTCAGAGCACAGCTCCAATGGAGTTGTGCTTGCCAGCTCAGCCCTCACCAGCTTGCCCTCGCAAAGCGCGAGGTGAACATGACCAATATAATCACAAACAACTGCAGAGCATAAGAACGACAAAAGAATCTGCAAGTCGCTGCAAGCTAGTAAACTGGCACAGGCCCCTCACCACAAGCAGCATGACTCAGGACGAACCAGCACAGCAACCTAAAGTGCCTCCAAAGACAAGTTCAGGATATGGACAGCAGAATTGGATAAACGCAAGTAAAAGCGGTGAATGTAGACAAGAGCGGGCTCAAGTAAAGAACAAACAGTTGCCAAGGTGATAATAAGTTGAGGAAGAAAATGAGAGGAATGCCATTGCCATGATAGAGTCTAGAGTCTAGAGAACACACATAAAAGTAAATATATTATATATATATATATGTCAAAGCAGAGTGGGCAACAAAAAGAAAGCCGGGACAAGTCAAGTAAAGTAGACTCAGTGGCGGCAGAGATCGCATCACATCCACCAACGCTTCGGACGCTTCGCTTCCTTCCCTTGAGCTGTTCTTCGTGAGAAACTTCTGCCATTTGGCATCGACGGAGCTTCGAGGTTGTGTTGAAGTGCAGGTGATGCAGCATGGAAGCTGGCTTGCCAACATGGACCTATATGACCTACCTTGGATCACTGTGCAACTGTTTACCCTGAACCGGTCCGGTTGTTACACCTGCACCCATGCGAGCAGGTGAACCTCGCACGGTACCGTGATTGGTCCATCCAGGCTCCGAGTTTGGTCCTTTTTGAAGCTTCGTCGGACAAAAATGCAAAAATGACCACTGCATAATCAAAATCAGTAAAAGGGTCCCGTAGGAAAGTGCGTATTCTCACACAGCCCCTTAGGAACAAAAAGGAAATGCACTTCCTTGCTAGAGATCTAAGGAGAGCACCCGTCGAAGTGGCGTCACTTCCTTGGCTGATTGTCAGTCCAATGGAAACACTGTGAATTGGACTGCGCACTTTACTCTGGGTTGAGACAAATGTGCTTCCTACATGCACTAAGGATGTAAGCCCGGCACTGAATCGCAAAGGATCACAGTTCCAAAGCAGCCAACGCTAACCAAAACACGGGCAAAGGGCGTTTTGAGCAAATCAACTTCTTGTAGAGAAGAGAGGTCGTGCTGATTGTTGGCCAACGTGCAACACCAATAGGACATCTCCATTGACTCCTGTGGTTTCCGAGAAAGCGCATGCTGCTTCAGCATCTCTGCAGTGGCTGCAAAGTGGGTGCTCCATGCATGAGACACCATCCATTCTCAGGGTCAAAATTCTAGGTTTTTTGCAAAACAAGGCTAAATAAGCGAGAAATACACACACATAAAAGAATAACGCAAGATCGTTCTTGCATCGCCAACAAGTGCGGATTTTAGCCCACGCACCTGGAGGTTGCAAGTCCGAAGCCACAAGCTCCACATAAGAGCAAGCATGTTCGCTTGTCAAGGGAATGATGAAATGCTGGCAAATGTGGTACATATTGACTTTGAACCAGCTTAGAGGCGAACCTGGATCCGCAGCGTAAGGGCCTTCATCAAGCACCCACTCACGATTTAAGACCTCTGCAACAACCTCGGCAAGTTTGGAAAACTGCGCCACCAGCACTCCTCGCATGGCTGGATCTTCTCGCAGTTGCTTCCTCCACTTTGCAGTTGCACTTCCTGCACTCTTCCGTAGCATCCGGAGAGAATCGTTCAGCCACGCTGGCCGGGATCCTGCTCCGGCTTTCATAGCGTTCAAGAAGCTTGCATCACCTGAAGTGTTGGCCGACATGCTTCATTCGTGGCTTGGCTTCAAGGCTTTCCCCTGTTCTGCATTGCCAGAGAGGGAAAAAACACAAACATGATTTTGATGTTGCGACCGCCAAGGTCAATCATCAGAAAAACATCAAGGCAGTGGTGCTGGCTACCAACATTTTACTTGGCAATGAGAATGGGCGGGGTGCTAGAGAAGAATAAGACCTCTAGGCCATGATACCAAACGGAAGTTACGAATGGGCTGACAACACAGTTGGCCCCTCCTGGGGTTCTTAAATTCTTAGCTGTTTAGCGGCTCATTAGCAAGTCAGCAAGACAAACACATTGAAACTCCAAGGAGCTCTGCTTTGCCAGCGACTTCTCCACAGCCTTTCGAGCCCTCACAATTTCGGCCACATCCACAGGAAAGTATACTTCCAGTCGCGGTTTCTGTCCGTCTCCACGTCCTGTGTGCACTTTGCTTGCTTTGCTGGATTGACCCGCTTGAGGCTTGTTTACCAGCTGTTCTTTCTCACTTTTCTCGGACTCGAGGCCTAAGAAGGCATTCACCACTGCCGAAATGATCGCCTCCAAAGACTTGGAGCCGCTTGACTCAACTGCAGGGTGGTGACTGACGCCAATGCTTACAGCTCCTTCAGAAATCACCAGTTCACAAGCCTGCCGAATGGCCTCTTGCAAGTCAGGCGCCACGGAGACCTCGGGTTGATTTAATTCTCCCCCGTCAGGTGTCACAAGCACAGACCAGGTTGCTCGAAGACCCGGCAGCATCTTCAGATAATATCCACCCACAAGTTTCATCGGCTTCATGGGTTCCAAGTTGTTCGAAAAGTTTGAAGCCGACATGTCTGAGTCCGACACGTCGCCTACAACCAGAATGGCGTCTCCAGAAAACTGCTCAATGATACCTTGAGAGACGACAAAAGTGCAGGAACTTGCATCTTGGCTGACAAATCGTGGCAGCACATTGAAACGCAAACGGTCAACCCGAAGTTCATCGTTGAAAGGGATCGCCTGCTGCGCTTCTTCGGCCAGCCGTGACTCGCCCAGCCACAAACGGACCAATGGCGCTGGCAAAGTGCCTAGACCTGTAGCAGGTGGCACCACACTTGATGCATCCCACTGCCCCACGGCCGGCATGGGAGATTCGAAGGAATAATAGATCTGATGCGTGTTGAGATCGGTGCATTTGGCAAACTCCCATTTGCCATTGACGTTCAGCAGCTCAACTTTGCCATCTTTCTTGGTGTACTTGATCACTGTCCCCGTGAAGTCAGGTGTGTAGACCCCATTGACCTCTTCACTTCCAGCACTTAAAACTTCAATCATTCCTTTGAAAAGCCAAGGCCGCATCCAGCGGATCATCCTTCTCGGGGATTCGTATTCTGGGTTCATGCTCAAGCCCCACTCCAACACCAAAGCATTGCTTCTCGAGACGTTCAGAATCCATCCACCCCACCGCGGGTAAATCACTTCCGGAAAAACCTGTAGCTGCATCTCTTCATCAGCCTCTCGACATAGAAAGTTGCTGTCAATTTCAATGAGGAGCCCTCCTCGTAGCCATGGGCCTATGAGCGCTTGCGGAAATATGCTTGGAGTTCTAAATCGGAGTGGCAGTAGAAAAGGGCCATGAAGTTCATTGGTTTTGGATGTCGATTCTGCCGGAGTTTCTCCCTTCTCGTCCACATCCACTTCCGTCACTGATATGGTGGCTGTTGGCGAAGACGAGAATGGAGCATCCAATACCAGAGTCTGAAGACCATCATATCTGTGCACCACAAATCCTTCACAGTCTTCCCCCCCGAAGCGGCGCACCTCCCCGGGAGCCAAGCGCCAAAATTCCTGCTCAGTTTCCTTGTAGTCTGCAGCAAAAAGCAAGACGCGGAAGCGAAGTTCTGCACGTTCGTATACATCCATGTCTTGGAACTGGAAGACAAAAGCCACATTGTGTGTCTCTTCCTGGAGTTCAGGTGTGCGACGAACACGAAGAATATTCATGCTGTTCCAGTCGCTGTGAAGACGGGCCCATTGGCCTGACAACCAGGTTGGATCTGTGGGGAAATCACCGGGCAGGGCATTGGCGAATGGCCGGAGATGAAATGAACCACTGGACCCAGCAGCGTCCAAAGTGCCCATGAAGCCACCATCCTTGGGACAAGGCACAATGCTTGGGCTCTCGTCAGAGGTCAGTGATGAAGAAATATGTATCTTTTCTCTCTCTCTCTCTATATGTATATATATATAAAGGCTCACTCCCCATCCGTTGTCCCCTTTTTCTTCGCAAGACCAAGTTAGCCAGAAAAAAAGATTCCGATCTTGGATCGCTCTCGGATCCTTAAATCCCCCCTAGAAATGCTTCCGCCACACCGGAAGAACATTTCTAGCTCAAGGGATTGGTTTGCTACCATGTTTACACCCCTCCGCCAAATCGAAGGTGTGTAAACCCCCTGGTTGCTTTTAAAACAGTTCGCTCTCTCCGCGAAAAAATTCTCTTTTGTC